AGAGGAGAGGGGTAAGGGAAGAAGAGAGGGATAGGAGAGAGGGCGGGGGGGGGGAAGAGGAGGAGAGAAAGGAGGAATGGAAAGGGGAGGGGGGAGAAGGAAAGAGGAAGAGGAAGTAGAGAAGAGAAGGGTGACAGAGGGAAGAAAGGAGGTAGGGAGGGGAAAAGAAAGTAACAAATATGGTATACGGAGAGCAGAAGAGCCAATAATTGTTTTTGGGAGCTGATGGCAAAATGAATTGATGTAAACATTTAATAACTGGGCACCAATTAAAAAATTAAAAATAACAGTCATATAAAGCTGAAGCCCCACATTACAAATCTCAGAAGATACCAAGGCCATAAATGCAGACTAGAGCTTCAATAACTACAGTCTGGCTCAATCTCTGAGCAAAGAGGCAATTCTTCACAGCCTTTTGAAAGGATGGTAGGATCGGACCATCTGTAACTTTTGCTGCTTATCATCCAGGGTAAGTGTCAATCATTATTTGGTCCAGAACTAATAGACCAATGACCCTTTCATCCCATGGTGTTTTTAGCAACCATTTCAAAGCCATAATCTGAAGGTATCCATCTTCTTTCATGTTTTCTTGTCCAGTTTTTTTTAACTGTACCCTATGATTGCTTTAACTATGCTGACATTTGTTGTTATTGAAATCCTCCATGATGGTTTTTGAGTTTGCAATTTCTTTCTAAGAATAGTCTCAGGTTTTGTTTTCTGAGTGCAGTATCTATCAATATCTATTCTGAAGCCCTGCAAAATGAAACTGAAGATTGCATTACATTTTTTTGCTGCAAGCTGTACGTTCATTAAATATAAGTTGGAATTACTTTTTAAAAAATCATCTATAATTTGTTTTATTGCATTGTTGTAAATATAACTAGTACATTGTATTATTTGAATACAGGTCATCCTCGACTTAACAACCGTTCATTTAATGATCATTCAAAGTTAAAATAGCACTGAAAAAAGACCTATGACAGTTTTTCACACTTATGACCATTGTAGCATTCACGGGGCCACATGATCAAATTTCAAGCACTTGGCAACTGGCGTGTATTTATGATACAGCAAGATACATCAAACTATATGATGAAGGTTTATGTCTGAAAGTTAATACAGTTCTTAATACAAAGGTCTCCACTGTACTGTTATTTATTATTGTTTGTACATATTAAAAGAAAAAAGAAAAAAGAAAATTAATAGCAAAAAGGAAAAGTGAAAAGACTGTTTGATTTCTAACTTCCCCCTTTTCTGCCTTTGCCATTTTGTGATGTTTATAATTATTCGGACCCCTTTAATATTTACCCAATGTTTTTCTTCTGTTTTTCAACTATCTAAGTCTTGCTTACTTACAGCTAATAAAGTGATATGGATGCATATTAGGGCTGTGTATTACTTTGGATCTGGAAGCAAAAAGATGTTTTTTCTTGGGACCTCATTTAAGGTATATATTTTAGAATCCAAAGCAATGCACAGCTCGACCGCAGATTCAAATTATTGCTGTTTGGCCACAGTTTTAATTTTAACTGTTAATTGTTTTAGTTCTGCTTTGTATGTGACATATTTGCTGAACAAGATAAATGGATATGAAGACAAAATGCTTCCTGGTCTCACTTCTCCTATTTTAAACTTTATGATAGCTTCTCATTCATTGTAAAGATTACTCCACTGACTCAAGTATTCTGATTCATTAATTTGAATCATTAATATTCATTAATATAAATTATTAATATATTCCATGTTCTGACTTCTTGTAATTCTCATGCTGTCTCCATTATTTTTCTTATGCTCACTACCTGATATTGGGTCTCTGCTGAGTTTGTAGGCTTGTGCAAAATACTTCATTTGAAATTTTTTCATTCTTAAAACTTCACAGTATTCCCTGCCTTGAGCATAAAATGGATCCCTTCAAGCATTTTGGAAAATATTTCCAATCTAAAAGAGTAATTTTGCCCTAGAAGCAGGACATTTCATGAAATTTCATGCTTGAAATACATAACAATGAAAAGTTTTGCGCGTCTCTTTATTTTTTTTTAAAAAAAACTTTTTTTATTTGGCTTTTTTTTCTATGTACAGGTAACCTTCAACTTGCAACCATTCATTTAGTGACTGTTTGAAGTTACAACAGCATCAAAAATGGACTTGTAGCTGTTTTTCACACTTACGACTGTTGTTGCGGCATCCCTGTATTCATGTAATGAAAATTCAGATGCTTGGCAACTGGCATGTATTTATGACAGTTGCATTGTCCCAGGGTCATGTTAGCCCCTTTTGTGACCTTCTGACAAGGATGGTCAATGGGGAAGCCAGATTCACTTAACAAGTATCTTATTAACTCAACATCTGCAGTGATTCACTTAACAGTTGTGGCAAGAAAGGTTGTAAAATGAGACAAAACTCACTTAACAACTGTCTTGCTTAGCAATGGAAATTTGGAGGCTTGATTGTGGCTGTAGATCAAGGATTACCTATATGGCTGCTTTTTGTAAGAAGTTAAGTAAATATTTATTAGCTTGTGGGATTTCAGTATTTTTTGTGTATATGTCCCAGGTTTTTAGCCCCCATATAGGTAGATACACTTCGTTTTCAACTGTCTAAGCCTCATGTAAAGATATTAGCATTAGCTACCTCTTTTCCTGCAGCTTTAAAGGATTCAGTGGGCATTTCATCTGCATTTGATGTATTCCCGTTTGAAGCTATTCTATCGGGTCACATTCTTGTCGAGCTAGTTCCTAAATATATTCCCTCTCCCTTCAAATGTCTTTGTCAATTTACAATCTCTTTTGTAAACGATCCAAGTGTAGTCTTTTCATCTTCCTTGAATCTCATTTTTCCATTCAGATATTTTCTATATTTGTGTTGAATATTTTACCATAGCTGAAAAATTTCCCTTGATTTTTTTTACTGGTACTTTTCTTTTTCTTGATACTTGCCCCTGTTTATTCACAACCTTAATTTTTTGTGCCTTTTTTGATATCGAATGTCTGTGTCCAGTCTTCATACATTCTTATTTCCTTTCTTTGATCTTTCCGCAGCTATCATGACAGCTTGAATCCTTTTCCTTGGTAAATTTTTGGTGGTTTTGGTTTGGTTTCCATAGGATCTTTTCTTACCATACCTTGTCAGGTTTAGTTTTGCATAATTTAAGTATAATAATCTGTACCTTGTGTTTCAACTATATAGCTCCCTAGGTCATATTTTACTGATATACCTTTTTTCTTTGATTTTCTAAGTTTAATCCATTTGAATAGCAATAATTTGTGGTTTTACAACCTGTAACAGGAATTGTGTTACTGACTGGATAGTGCTTTTTCATCAGAATGGTAGCTAAAAGAAGATGGTACTGATGGCAGAGAAGCATTTGGAGAATTCTTAATAGAATAAGAAACTTACTGTAATTCAGCTACTGAGGCAAAATATGGATTTCTGAATGAAGTGCTGCTACTCATTCCATCATAGTGTCATTTAGATTAGACTATTAAGTTGTGATTAAACTAAGTCACTCAGGGTGCTTTATACATAATATACAAAATTCAGTATTGAATTGATAGCTTCTATCCAAAAGTGTAGCCTAGACTATTTGCAGATCAAAAATGACTCATTCTGTAATTTTGATGCTAAAGAAACCAAAGCTGCATCAGAGATTGTTAAACTCTTGCGGGAAACATTATGTTTTAGATACCATTAGAGTTGTGGCCATGATGGTCTGCAGATGTTTTATGTTGTCAGAATGAAAATCAGATGTAGAACTCTGAAGAATGACCCGTTTTCTCAAGTTATTTTCTTCTTGCACAATCACAGAATGACCAATGCCTGCCATCGTAAATGTGTTCCTCCACACTACAAAGAAGCTGAACTGTCAAAAGGAGAATCCGTGTGCCTGGATCGCTGTGTCTCCAAGTATTTGGACATTCATGAGCGGATGGGCAAGAAACTGACAGAACTCTCAATGCAGGATGAAGAACTGATGAAACGGATGCAACAAGGGACTGGACCTGCCTAAGCTCTTGCTTCCAGTTCTCCCAGCCTATCTCTACATCTTGTGTCTGGACTGGTGTTAATTCTCGCTTTTGCCAATAAAACATCCATGCTGTATTTCCTCTGCCAGCTGTTAATGGGGCTGAAGCTTTGCCTTCCATTTTTAGGCCTGATAAATGATTGTGCCTTGTGAAGGCAAACAGGCTCATCTCTGGAACCCTTTGTTTAGCTTATTCTTTCTTGTTGAACATTGGAAACTGAATCTTTGGGTTTGCTTAGTGGGCTATTTTAACACTTCCTATCCGGCTTCACAGAATTTTCTGGCTTGTTTCCACTCCGTTGGTACACTAACAGAAAAAAAGAAGCAGTTTATTGTCGTTTAGTTAAAACACCCTTATTGATTAAGTTATGTTCAGTTTTTAAATTCAGGACTAGGCAGGGTACTTGAGTAGCACCTGCTTTTACTTCCTTAGAGCAGTTGCTATATCTTTTCCTGAAATCTGTTTACAGTACTCTACACCAAACAGATTTCTAGACATGCTGTGTGCATCTCCCCAGGTGTCCCCCTTTTGCTTTTGACGTCAAAGAACTGCAGGCTTTTCTGTTTAGAAAAGTTTTTCCCTGCCTAGGCAACTCTGAGAGAAGTGAAATTCAACTCCCAGAATCCCCCCAGCCAATATGATCATTGCTGAAATTCTGGAAGTTGAAGTTGAAGTCCAACCTTCAAGAAAATTATGTTTAGAAACATAACAGCAGAGGGATATTAGGGCATTTCTAATAGTTTTACTCCTCCTGCAGCACACGGAACCATTTAACTCACTTCCATGGGGAATGGGAGTGGTTCATCACATGACACAACTATCTCTGAGCTAATCTAAGTAGTCAGCCAAGCTAAGTGGGAGGAAAACAATCCAATTTACCAGCCAATGTCAGGAAGGGGGAGAGGTAGAATCTTCCCTTTCTCCAAATTTCAAATATGAGATGCTTCAAAAGCAGATTTTTCCACAAAGGAAAAGGAACAAGAGCAGTAAACATGCTGGCCTATATGATAATGCCTGATAGCGTAATTGTTAATGTTTAAATAATTGATGTGAGCTGAGTGTTTCCTGTCTTTGGGCTCATTGATAAAACTGGCTGCAATTGCAATAGATAATCGGAAGGGGGAACTAGAGTCTGCAACTTTGAAGGCCCCAGGATTGCTTGGTTGGTTTACAGATTTCAGGAACTAGGAGCCCCCATATGTGGGACTCTTAATGGACACCAGGCAAACACTGAGCAGTGTATCTTGGAGAATTGCAGACTATTTGATAAGTGACTTCTGATTCAACCACTTCTTCAAAGAAAGATTACTGAAATTATTAGCTTCTTGGCTAAAATATTGCTGCTGTTCTTGTTTGATTACTGAACCAGCAATTTTTTGATATATCCTAGTAGCTTTTTATTGGAGGGTACAAATCATTTCTCTGTAATTTGAAGCAGAGATCCTATTTCTCTTCACGTGCTCTTAATTTTGCTGGAAATAAGGTGCAGCACGTAGTTGCTTTCCAAATAGCTTTTTGCCTCAAATGCACTCGGTAATTCAATCTCTGTTGAAGAATGCCTCTGTGTTTCTGCATTGTTCTGGGTGCTGCAGTCTCTAGTGTGACATTTGTGAACATATAGGTGCTTTCAGAAGACTGCCATGGGGATCACTATGCAATCTCTCCCCCCCCCCCCCCCTCTGCCATAGAGGGATATTTTTAAAAATGGTCTCTCAGAACANAGTAGCCTGCAGTGCTGCATTTAACCACTGCGCCACCTTGGCTCTAGGTGGCGCAGAACGCTAGCCAAAATTCAGTGAATGGTCACCAATCTGCCAATTTTGGTTCAAGCAATTAAAAGTGGGGGCAGGAATTTTGAACAGTGCTTTCAATGCTGCGAGGTTGATGACATTTTCCCCATGCTAATCAGATAGGAAATAGAACTAGAATGAATTAACAATCTTGCAAGTCTGAAAGTACAAACTTTCCACTATCACTTTTAATTGCTTGATATTTGGGGGCAGGTTCTTCCCAATTTTCTTTCTCTGACTGTTAAGCCTCAGGGGGCACCTGCCTCTCTTCTCTTATTGTTTCCTAGGTAGCATCTCTTCTCATTCCCCAAAGTCATCCACCTGTTCCATTACAACTGCTTATCTCCAGTCACTGTCATTGATTAATAAATACAAAAATGCAAGACACCTGAGATTTTCCTGTTTTGCTTGTTTTTGCATATTTTTTAATTCCCTGGTTTCCATTGACCTTTCATATGAATAGGCTTTTTATATGCTGACACAGGCTTCTTATTTCCAGAGAAATGTATAAACATATGTATATTTATATCTGCAAACTAAGCAGACATTCAGGAATTTGTGGAAACAAACATAAAACATGAAAAATGAACATGCAAATAAAAGGAACTGGAACTGGCACACACTGGCAATAATAGTTATATGGTAAAGGGACAGGTAAGAAAGGATGTCTGGGAAGTCTAAATTTGATAAGATGTGTTGGCTCCCCACAATCTCATCCACCTTTATCTTTTCCCCTATTTTATTACACCCTATTACAGTGCCAAACATACCTATTATCCACTACTTGCATCATATCCCCAAAGTATATAAGTACCCGTTTATTCAATTTTTTATTTTCATTTACAGCTAGTCCTTGACTTAAAACGGTTAATTTAGTGACCATTCAAAGTTACAGCGGCACTGAAAAAAAGCAATTTACAACCATTTTTCACACCACCATTGCAATATCTCCGTGGTCACATGATCAAAATTGACACGCTTGGCAACTGACTCATATTTATGCCGATTGCGTCCTGGGGTCATGTGATGATCCTTTGCGACCTTCTGACAAGCAAAGTCAATGGGGAAGCCGGATTCACTTAACAACCGTGTTACTAACTTAACAACTGCAGTGATTCACTTAACAANCAAAACCCTTAGACATCCAGCTAAGCACACTGGTACAGCTTTTGGCCAGCAGGGGTCAGTGGTCAACAAAGACTTGAGCACCACTTTTAGCAAACAAACAAACAAATTTTAAGGTATGGCTAATTTTTTAATGAGTATGGTTCATAATTGGGCCCTTTAGATTTCTTTTAGACTCGCTCTACCTTTTCTAATTAAATAGCGGTACTTAGCCAGAGGGTGATTTATTCAATTAGAGCTGCTTAAAGCAATTAGAAGTTATTTAAAACCACCTGCTGGAAGTTATTTGGCAACCCTTGCTTGTGGTTTTATTTCTACCCGGGGCAGGATGCTATGCTGCAGTTGCTTTCATGGATCCCTGTATGCCCCCTGCAGGGGCTGGGGAGAGCAACCAGAGTTTAAGACACAGCGGCAACAGCAAAATTGCAAGACATTCACAGGATTCCATGATTGGGCAAAAGTGGGAGGAGGAAAGGGAAATGGAACCAATGCATGTTTCAAATAAGACGTGAGATTTGATTCATAATAGTTCACTTCTATTCTTCAGTTTCATTTCCCTGAGAGGAAGGTACTACAGTAGACCTTGAATTACAATCATTTGTTTGGTGACGATTTGAATCTTAGAGAATTGAAGTGTTTGAAGTTAACAACAGCACCGGAAAAAAAGTGACTTATGACCTTTTTTCCCATTTATGAGTTGCAGCATCCCTGTGGCCATGTGATCAAAATTCAGATGCTTGGCACCTGGCATGTGTTTATGACGGTTGCAGTGTCCCAGAGTCATGGGATCACCTTTTGGGATCCCATGACTCTGGGAAGCCAGATTAGTCAATAGGGAAGCCAGATTCACTTAACAATCATGTTACTAACTTAACGACAGTAGCGATTGACTTAACAACTATGGCAAAGTCATAAAAATGGGGCAAAATTAACTTGTCTTGCTAAGCAACTTAAATTTTGGACTCAATTGCATTCGTAAGTTGAGGACTACCTGTACTCCAATTGTTAGGAGTCAAAAATAGACTTTCATTCAGATGTTTGCCAATAGACCCACTACTGTTTTATATATCATGAATCTTCCATAAATATATTTTATAAGTACTTTACAAATTAAAAATACAATAAAAATACATATTCAATTTTCTGACCAGATCATGCAGGTCCTGGTTTCATGTTGGCCCTGTATAAACTCATCCTATGCTGTAAGGTAAAGGTAAAGGTTCCCCTCACACATATGTGCTAGTCATTCCTGACTCTAGGGGGCGGTGCTCATCTCCGTTTCAAAGCCAAAGAGCCAGATCTGTCCGAAGACATCTCCGTGTTCATGTGGCTGGCATGACTAAACACTGAAGGTACATGGAAAAACTGTTACCTTCCCACCAAAGTGGTCCCTATTTTTCTACATGCATTTTTCCATGCTTTCGAACTGCTAGGTTGGCAGACGCTGGGACAAATAACAGGAGCTCACTCCGTTATGCGGCACTAGGGATTCAAACTGCCAAACTGCTGACCTTTCTGACTGATAAGCTCAGCATCTTAGCCACTGAGCCACCGCCTCTACAGTATATATGAGTGCAAGTGGTATATCAATATATTTAG